TTTGTATGGACACACCTCTGAAGAGTTTATAAGAATTCCAAGTACTGTAGTACAAACTAATCCAACAAAGAGAAGAATCTAACAGGAACAATACAAATGGTTAAGTAATGCATTTCTATTTTTGAGCCCTCTAGATTCAAAAGCTGACTTTGCAAAATGTTTCCCTAAATGGAATAATGGGAAAATTATATGTAATTAGTTTAATCAAGCTCAGTCACCACAAATTATATACTTTAGATCCCCTCTGGAAAAGAATACAGGCATATAATAAAGTGTAGTTTCTTGTACAGAAAGATAAATGATTGGACTGTACTTCATTTTATGTTTTATGTTGTGTCACAGGCATGACTGGCAGGGACTAGAGAGAGGGCCTTCTCAGTGATTGCCCCTCAACTTTGGAACTCCCTTCCTGGTGAGATTAGAGCAACCCCTTCCCTCCTGTCCTTCAGAAGAATGATAAAAACTTGGTTGTGGGACCAAGCCTTTGGGACAGTGCAATAAGGCAGAGATAGGAAACCTTATTATGCCAACCAGATTTGATGCGGATGATTGAAATGGTTTAAACAATGGAGTTTAAAGTTGAGATTAATGATTTTAACGTTTATATGTGTACAAAGTCTATTTATGCCCGGCATTGAAGCCAGCTGTGCCACACCGGGACTGTGGCACAGCTGAGTGGGAGTCAGCTGCATTAAGATCACTACTGACTGAAAGGTCATGAGTTCGAAGCCAGCCCAGGTTGGAGTGAGTGTCCAACCAATTTGTGTAGCTTGCTGTTGACCTTTGCAGCCTGAAAGAGAGTTGCATCTATCAAGTAGGAAATTTAGGTACTGCCTACGTGGGGAGGCTAATTTAACTAATTTACGATGCCATAAAAATCTCCAGCAAGTCTGCAAAGAATGAGGAAGTACTTCATCAGTGTCACAAATGGATGCTGAAGCAACAGCTCCCCTGGTGGCCAGAATACTCTCATGATAAAGTTTGAATGTTAAATTGCCTCTGTGTCTGTTTATATATGTTGTGTGTCTATGGCACTGAATATTTGCCATGTATATGTACATTGTAATCCGCCCTGAGTCCCCTGCGGGATGTGAAGCGCGGAATATAAATTCTGTAAATAAATAATAAATAAAATAAATTTGTCGTTTATATGCTGTGCTCTGCCCTAAGTCCCCTTCAGGTGAGAAGGGCGGAATATAAATGTTTTAAATAAATAAATAAATGTTGTGAGACACTTTGAGCCCCAAGATAGGATAAAAGTGGGATAAATATTGAACAAAGAAATGCATCTTCTGCATATCATTCCCTCACTTCACATTTTAAACGGAATGCAGCCATGGTCATGGACAGTGTAACTAGATTGGAAGCAAAACTCCTCTGGCTATGTTCTCTTCAGTACAAGTTATGTATTCACACTCGTAGGGTCTATTCAAACCATATAACAAATGTAGTTTGACACTACTTTAATTGCCATGACCCAAACTATGAAATCAGGGAAATTGCAGTTTTACAAGGTCTTTAGCCTTCTCTGCCAAAGAGTGCTGGTACCTCAGCTGACTACAAATGCCAAAATCCCATAGCATTGAGCCATGGTAGTTACAGTCATATAAAATCGCATTTATTCTACAGACGAGATGCACCCAAAATCTGCCAGCTCTCAGTAGTTTATTTATCCAGTACCTGCCTGACTTCATGGACCACAGCTTTTTTTCCCCTCCTGCTGCCATAATCTATATTGGTATGATATGCATCTAGGATTCCAGCTCTATTCCCCCTCCCCACAACATCCTATATCACATTTACTTTATCATACATACAGAAGAGTGTATTAGGTCATCTTCTCTGTATAAATCTACTGCTAATGCCAACTGGGTAGATTGCTGAACCATGTAATGGGTTTAACCAATGAACAAAGTGCAAGTAATGGGGTCAAAGGTGTGAAATAAACACAGATCCGCTGTGACTAATTCCAACATTCCAGCCGAGTAACAATAAAATATATCAGAAAGAGCTGCCAACTGTACTTCTGCCAAAATGTGTCTTAAGCTTTACGATAACAAAGGCACATCTGAAAAATGCTCATTTATTTTTCCCCCAAATATCATACTAAACTACTATCATGATGCATTTTATGACTGTATTGCTTTCTGGGAAGGTCCAAATATTTTCTACAGGTATTATTTTTTCTTTTCATTCAAATATTCCATGTATGAGAGATGCTTTTTTCAATGTAGAATCAAATCATGGATGCCTATTGATAAATGGGTTTAACTGATCATTCAGTTCCCCATTCAGGAGAATGCATATTCCTCTAAGCAGGAAATGGGGAGATTCTAATCCACCAAATTATCAATGTTATTGTCAACAGTGCTTCTTGGTTTTCATGGAAGTTAGGAACCAAAACATTTGGATAGGCAAGACATAGTAGTTCCTGTTCTGTTGCAGTTCACAACGTTACATTACAGGCATTTTGTACTCTGGGCAGGGGGACACTTCAACCCACAACTTTGGGGTGATTTCTCCCCAGACACAGACATCATGAGTTATTGGAACTAGAATTGCAGAACTGATGTCTGATGAGCTTAACTCTACCATTCTATTCCCGCTGCAGTTTCCTCCCACAAATGTGAGTCCTGTCTAAAACACTGATCTAGAAGTAACAAATGCACCATTTTCAGCAATTTTGTGGGGAATAAACAATATTCCCGATCCTGACAATTGGGACAGGGGCTTTCCAGGGTATTTCGTAGTGCGATACTTCTGTTTTTAACATCCATTTGTTTTTAGTTCTTTTCCCCAAAGAGTGCATTTCTATGGCAACTTTATTTTTTCTAGCCATAAGGGAAATCCAATATCATTTTGCTAAACATTTTATCAACAGTTACATCATGACACCATCCCCAACTATCAATTGTGATGGCAAACACTCAACACAATGTACGAGTATTGAATGAAAAATAATGCCTCCACCTTCGTTACTTGGGTTTGGATGGGCATATTTTAATAAATCAAACACAGAAATAATCCTTAGAATGTGCTCTTTAACTATCACTATTTACTTTTCCACATAATCACCAGACAATTGGATACATTTCTGCCAATGATGAACAAGTTGTCTGAAGCTGTCATGGAAGAAGTCGACACTCTGTTTTCACAACCCATCATGCACAGATCTTCTGATAGCCAGGCAAAGCAATAATGTGACCCACACAATCTTGTGAAATGCTGATTTTGCTTGAAATTTCTCCCTGAGTGATACGATGATCGTCCTTAATCAATCTGGCAACTTTTTGCATGTGAAACTCGGTGGTTGCTGTCACAGGACGTCCAACTCTTTATTTGTCATGCAAGTCAGATGTTCCCACATCAACATCTTTAAACTTATTCACCCAATGACGCACAGTACTCACATCAACACAATCTCATAAACAGCTTGCATTCACTGATGAATCTCCTTTGGGGTGACACCTTCTGCTGTCAAGAATGCAATGACTGAACATTGCTTAAGTCACATTGACCAATGGTCTGTGCTGAGTTCCATACTTCGCACTTTAACAACACAACTGATCAATGCTAAGGCTTCTTGCCAATATGGATATGTAGAGGAGCGTCTACTGAACAAGCCAATACCTACCGCATAACAGTACTACCATCTGTTGTGGAGTTATGAAGGTGGAGGCATTACTTTTCATTCAACCCTCATAGTTGCAACAATCAACAGAACCAACTCTTCCTTAGACACTGAAAGTTTAACAAGAAGCAACACATGGACTTTGACTTATACTTTAAGTATAAGAAAAGTATAATGCTTTAATTTGGACTAATTCACAAGTTTTATCTATACAGAACCTAAAGGCTTTCCCAGATATAACAGTTCGGGGACTTATTGATAAATTCAGTGTTCTCTACCTAAAAAGGGAGCAGACAGATTTACACAGGAGAAGAGACTGAATCTTAAGGGAAGTTGTTTTTCAAAAGCAGCCCTGATCTGCAAAACATTAGCTTAATTCAAATGAGATGAAACTTCCCTTAAGCACCACTTCAAAAAGCAACAATAGAGCAACATTACTAGTCACACTTTCAATATCTATTAACAACATGACCTGATTCCTATCAGACACAGGCCAAAATGCCAAAAAACACAGCTGCAGAAGATCCACAGCATCTCGGAGATTAAGGACTGGAAGGACAGGTCTGGCCACAAAGTTTCATACCTTAATTACCAGAAGCTGTCTGTGAAATGTGTCTGGAGGCTATGGCTTGAACTAAACGTGCGAACCAGACAGTTGTCAGGTGAGTATTTTACAAATGCTACTGTACTTGCACTAGCTTCCAGTTTGCTTTCAAGCTCAATTCAAGGTGTTGGTTTTCACTTTAAAAGTTGTGCATGGCCTTGCAGGTCATAGAATCATAGAATCATAGAGTTGGAAGAGACCTTGTGGGCCATTCAGTCCAATCCCCTGCCAATCATGTTCAAAGGACCCCCAACTGATGGACATCCAGTCTTTGTTTAAAAGCCTCAATAGAAGGAGCCTCCATCACACTTCGAGGTGGAGAGTTCCACTGCTGAACAGTTCCCACAGTTAGGAAGTTCTTCCTAATGTTCAGGTGGAATCTCCTTTCCTGTAGTTTGCAGCCATTGCTCTGCGTCCTAGTCTCCAGGGCAGCAGAAAACAGGTTTTCTCCCTCCTCCCTATGGCTTCCCCTCACATATTTATACATGGCTATCATGTCTCCTCTCAGTCTTCTCTGCTACAGGCTAAACAAGCCCAGCTCTTTAAGTCGCTCCTCATAGGGCTTGTTCTCCAGACCCTTGATCATTTTAGTTGCCCTCCTCTGGACACATTCCAGAGTCAATGAAGTCTACCTTCTCCCTTGTGAGCTACTAAAAGTGGGTGTACTAAATGAGCACCTTGTTCTATGTTCCCCCAACCCCAAGAGATTTGGATGCAGACATATGACTTTCTCTGTAGCAAACCACAACTATGGAGTTCCCTCCCAAGGGATGTTAAGTTGGCTCCATCACTTTTGAGTTTGGTTAGGTAAGACTGTATGCCTACGTGTCCTGGGCACCAGATCTCCTGCAACATTGTGTATTTGTTGGTAGTTATCCAAGTACTAACTAGCTCTGATTGTGCTGATCTTCCAAAATTAGATGAGAAAAGAATTGGCAAGCTACATCTGATTATTCCTTGCCTAAGAAAGCCCTATGAAATTTTGGGGATGCAATAAGTAGACAGGCAACTTGAGCGGACACGTACACACAAAGCTAAGACTGTACTCATGGCATGGCCTTTAGTCTTAGAACTAGGGTGGTGCTTGTTCTAACTCTTTCTGGTTTTTAGACTTTTGAAATAAGTTGTTTTATGGTTCAAGCTGCATTAAATACAGTGGTGAAATAAAACGGTGTCCCTTGTATAAAATGGCAAAATTATGGTTCTCTTTATGGATTTTTTTTCGATTTTGGATTATTGACTCAGAGGGCTAAGTTTTCAGTATCCCCTCTCTCCTATGTACACCACACAGTCATGTAGACTAATATTAGAGAAAAATATTTTCCATGTAATTTTGAGTACTGTGAAAAGAGCATTAAAGTACCGCATCAGACAAGAAAAAATATTATTTCCCCTTCTGTAAATGATTACAGCTATAATTGATCTCTAACATGGGAGGAATTCTGCTTAGTGTTCTCTACTGGACTTGATAACTGAACCTGCACACATTTCAGTGACAGAAACACAGCATGGACTTTAAGATGCAGCTACTTGATCTTGTGGAAACCAAGAAAACAAAAACTGATTATAAGTGTAAAAATAACACTCCAATTGGATTTTCCCACAGTGGATGTAGTTTTTAAAATCACTGATTCACTCACCACAGCTGGAGCATTCACTACAGAAAGATTGTAGCCATACAGAAAAGATGACCCAAAGGCTCCAGCCACAGACGCAACAATAAGGCTACCAGACCAGTCCTGAAAAGAAAAGAAAAAGTACTGTACTCAAGTCTTTTAAATATCTTAGCTTTTAAGTACTGTTTGCTGAAATATAGACGAGAAAAGCATCTTAAAAATCCAGTGTAAAATGTTATTATTACAGACATCTCAAACTTAAATAATAATAATAATAATCTTCATTTATACCCCGCCACCATCTCCGCGATGGGGACTCGGAGAGGCTTACATGGGGCCAAGCCCGAACAACATATTACATCAAAATAAAACCAAAACATAAACAAGCAACATCATCAAAATTACATTTAAAAATTCAATAACAAAATAGCATTACAATAAACAAAAAACACAGACATAGTAAACGGTGGGTGGGCCACACATACAGGATAAAATGGTAAAAACAATAATGAGATAAAAATAGGAGCAAGTTATTTGCCGGGAGCTCATAAAGATACACAGGGTTGTGAAACTAAACTTCCCATTTTTTAGGGGGAGGGGCACGTATTCCAGTGATAGAAGCGTTGAGGGGAGCAACAGTGTCATGTTGTGCACCTACTCACCAAAGGCGCAGCAGAAGAGCCAGGTTTTAAGGTTCTTTTTAAACGTTTCTAGTGCAGGGGCTTTCCTGATCTCTCTAGGTAATGAGCTCCAGAGTTGGGGAGCCACAGAGGAGAAAGCTCCAGTTCATTGAAATAGTTAATGGTGGTTTTCTGATATAACAGGGGTTGATGGAGTTCTCTTACAATATGTTTGTGCAAGCACATTGGTGTGGAAATAAACTTTAAAGTGCAGGTCCTCATTGTGAGAGTCCCTATAGTGATATACCTCATGGCATCCAAAAATAGGAATAGCTTTATTTTTATTTTTCAAATAACAAGAAATCCTTCAAAAAGGTTGCTGTGAGTTTTCCGGGCTGTATGACCATGTTCCAGAAGCATTCTCTTCTGACATTTCACCCACATCTATGGCAGGCATCCTCAGAGGCTATGAGAGGTGACAATCTGAGGATGCCTGCCATAGATGTGGTGAAATGTCAGGAGAAAATGCTGTTGGAACATGGCCTTACAGCCCAGAAATCTCACAGCAACCCAGTGATTTCAGCCATGAAAGCCTTCAACAACAAATCCTTCAAAAGTGTCTCCTTAAATACATGTTTACTTCAAACTGTTAATCATCAAAAGCTTCAGTTAATTACTCAACCAACTAATGCTTGTGAATATTATTTTACAAGAAACATTTAAAAAACATTTGATGCAGTATTTAGAGTTTCTTCAAGGATCGAAGACCCAGAAAGCACATCTGATGTTCACAAGACATCTGTCAAGTGCAGTCAGTATGGGATCTTCCCTCACCTACTATTGTTTCAATCTTGCACACCACACAATTTTCTTGTTATTAAGTTGTGGCATATAACACAAAAAGGTTTTATGCCACAACTTTTATGAGTTGTGGCATCAACACAGAAATAAAAATATAGAGTTTTTCTTAATTTGTGTTCAGACCATAGAGAAATATTTATCATTACTCTTATCCATTCTAGGGCAGGTTACAGGCTATGTGTGACCCCCTGCTGCTGTTTTGTGTCCCTGAAATCATTTTTGTTGCCTCAAAATGATATCCAGAGGTTATGGGAGGCATTTCCTCCATATTTGGAGCCTCCTGCACACCCTAGGTTGCAAAGCAATGATTTGCAAATTTCCCCCCAAAACTTTCTATTGCAATTTTTTAAATAGGATGCAAATATGGTGTAGGTGTGGCCATTAAGTTATCCTGGGGGAAGCAATGTGACCCCCCCCCCCACTTGACTTCCATAGTCATCTATTCCTGTTTTAGAGTTGTAAAGCATGCTCAGGATTCTTGGCTTCATGGCTTCAGATTACAGTTGGCCCTCCACATTTGTCAATTTCACCTTTGCGGATGTGCTTAATATGTTCTCAATACTGATGATGGTGATAATAATAAATTTTATTTATTACCCAGCTCTCCTGATGACTCGAGGTGGGGTACAACAAATTTAAAAACATGAGCATAAAAAATACAATAAATTCCATAGATAAAAACACAAAAATATAAAAACTTGCACCAAGCACAGATACAGAATTGGCATATATGGTAGTAGTAACAGAATGCTATTCAAAACTCATGATTGAAAGTTGACTGAGTAGGCCTGCCAGAAGAGATGGGTCTTCAATTGCATTTTAAATTTCAAAAGCTCATTTAGTTGTCTGATCTCACCTGGCAGGTGATTCCACAGTCTAGAAATATCTAGGTTCTTCAGTATATCTCCATGATCATCTCCACCAAGGAGGTGTACAAAAGGCCTTAGGGCAGTTCCAGACAGCAGCTTAAACTGGAAAAAATCGTGTTTTAAAAATACGAATGTTCCCGAGTTCTGGTCCACACATGCCCCAGAAAGCGAGTGCTTTGGGGTGGGCATCCACATGCCCTGCTGGGCTTTCCAGCAGGGCATCAGGACAAAAAAGAAAACCTCTTAGGAAAAGCCTTCAAAAAAGGACTATAACTCATCTGGCAGTAATTTCTCCTTCTCTGGAGTTCTCCTGGGTTGTACCAATGACACGCCAAGAGAAGAGGGGGACAGGGGCGATTCCCCCCCTTCATTCCGGGCATCATTCGTATGTTCTTTCAGGCAGGAGGAGAAGCCAAATGGCTCCTTGTGAGTTTCCTTTTTATTTTTGATGATTTTGTGTGTGTGTGTGTGGTGGTGGGGAGTTGGGAGGGACTTGGTGCCCTCATAGTTTTCCAGGATGAATCAGCCTAGAAAATGTGAAAGGGCAGTCTCGACTGTCCCCCCAGAAGTCCAGTCCAGACAGTGGCAATAGTGGGTTCAGCCTACGCCTTTAAAAAAGATGCAGATCTGATCCACTATCAAATTATCTCAGCACAAAGCAGGGTTTTCCTGCTTTGTGCTGAATGCAGTTACGTTTACCTGAGATGTTGTTTGAACACCCCAGGGGAAAACACGAGAGGGTGCATACTTTAGGTACTGTCTGGATGTGTCCTTAGCCCCACATAAATGGCAGTCATCATCTAAGATCTTTATCAAGGTGTGTTCAGACCTAGTAATGCACTCTAATAAAAGGAAATATGGCACATAAAAGGGACATAGGATACACGTTCTTGAATTAAACAAGGGCCACAACTGTATTAATTTGAATTAGATATTGCACAGCTGACATTTTAAACTAGATTTCAATATAGCTCTCAGTCCCAATGCAATTATGTATTATAGCTTAATGGTGTAACATTAGAAAATGTTGACCATTTCTGCTACCTTGGCAGCCACCTCTCCACCAAAGTCAACATTGACACTGAAATACAACACCACCTGAGCTCTGTGAGTGCAGCATTTTTCCGAATGAAGGAGAGAGTGTTTGAGGACCAGGACATCCGTAGGGATACCAAGGTGCTTGTTTATAAAGCTATTGTCCTCCCAAACCTGCTATATGCCTGTGAAACATGGACTGTCTACAGACATCACATGCAACTTCTGGAACGATTCCATCAGTGCTGCCTCTGGAAAATCCTGAAAATCTCTTGGGAAGACAAGTGGACAAATGTCAGCATGCTGGAAGAAGCAAAGACCACCAGTGTTGAAGTGATGGTCCTCTGCCATCAACTCCGCTGGACTGGCCACGTTGTCCATATGCCTGACCACCATCTCCCAAAGCAGTTGCTCTATTCCGAACTCAAGAACAGAAAACAGAATGTTGGTGGGAAGGAAAAGAGATTTAAAGATGGGCTGAAAGCCAACCTTAAAAACTCTGACATAGACACTGAGAACTGGGAAGCCCTGGCCTGTGAGCGCTCTAGCTGTGACCAGCAGGGCTGCAGAATTTGAAGAGGCACGAATGGAGGGCAAAAGAGAGGAAGGCGCGTCAAGCCAACCCCAACCGGGACCGCCTTCCACCTGGAAACCAATGCCCTCACTGCGGGAGAAGATGCAGATCAAGAATAGGGCTCTACAGTCACCTACGGACCCACCCTGGAAGATTATCCTACTCGGACAATGAGGGATCACCTAAGAAAGGAAGGAAGGCAGGAAGAGAGGTGTTCTCTCAAGTTTATTTGGGTTTTTTTCACTTTTGGGGGGCATTGCACCCGTAACCACAACAAATGTGAAGAGCTGACTGTACTTAACAAAATGTGATGATTAATCTCTTCATCCATGAACTCTGAAACCATACAATGTTCTCAATCATCTCAAAACAGAGATGCTGTCAACATTTCTTTTGAAGCTGTAAGAAAAAAAATGCACACATTTGCTTCCAAGAAATGGATCAGAATGCAAGCATTCATGCGCTAATCTCAATCTGAGCATGCCAGGAGTCATCTTAAGCATTTTGCCACTGTTTCTTGGTAACCGATTTTTGCAGGCAGGACTATTGTCATGACAAGAACTCTCACTGCAAGGACAACAGTCAGAGGAGGACAAAGTGTTCAAAACTAGTTGGCGTATATGATCGCTGTAATCATGAATGCAATGTCTCCTAATGCTAAAGTCCACACATTTCACTGTATAAGCAGAAAGGTACAGGTATGTTCTTGGGCATTACATTTTGAACAGAACATTTCGGATCCGAGACAAAAACAATATGGGAAGAATTGTGAAAGATTCCTGCAGCACAAAGTAAGGGAGGAGTTGAACATGTTTCAGCATTTGTTTTTACCTCAAACTAACAGTATCAGCGCTTGAATACAGAATTCAACCAGATTAAGTAAGCCTTTCAAAAGTACACAAAAGCACTGCAAACTTTCTAGAGAACACATGAAGGTTTCTTCCAGAATGTACTCAGGAAAGGATTATCTCCTTCGCCAGGTCTCCCTCTTTTCTTATGATTTCCTTTTTGTTTGGCCAAACTTATAGATCTATAGTTTTTACATACTATGTTTAGCTAGTGAGGCATGCTTATCTGTTTCCCCCCTTTCTCTTTGCTTTGTTGTTCACACATGTTGACCAAGGGATTTTGGACACAGTTGCTGTTTACTTAGCTACTGAAGCA